AACAACAACAACAACAACAACAACAACAACAACAACAACAACAACAACAACAACAACAACAACAACAACAACAACAACAACAACAACAACAACAACAACAACAACAACAACAACAAGGCGTCCTGACCACCAATCCTCGCAGCCCAGCCTTCGGAGACGAAAAGAAGGTAGCGCTGCCCCGCTCGATGAAGGACAGGAGCTCGTCCACCGAAATGTTGCCTACGGCCAGGCAAATGGCAGCGAAGCAAGCGATTGGTCCAGTGCCGCGTGGCTCGCGTCCTTTTTCTTTGGAGAAAAACGCCCTTGGTTTGCCGGTGTTTCTTTGAGGAAAGCCACCAATTGTCCAATTTGAAGATGGAAGGTTGCCCCACATGCCCCCCACCCCAACCAAACTCTGGCTGTTTTTGTTCGTTTGTGTTGTTTCCCTTTCTTTTCGTTTTTTCTTTTTTTTTTGGGGGGGGGGGGTGCATTAGTGTATGACAAAAATGAGCTGGGGCCCTCTGTTTGTTGCAGGCCTCCCACCGAAGATCCCTGATCAATACCAGAAATAAGGCATGATTAGTGCATTCTGAAACGCACCCCCCCACTCGACTCTGTGAGAGAGGTCCGCAGGCCAACGCAAAGGTGAAGTTGAGCAAAGCCCAGGAAGATTTTGGGCTGACAAAGTCGCAACTCGGGGTACAGTCCCATTGCCAAGCGCAGCACTGACCTCTGGATCCAGTTACACAGTTAGCTTTGCCAGGGTGTTGCGCGGGACTCCCAAAATGAAGCAGGGACACAGTCTCAAGGGCTACAGACCCAACTAACAGGCGCAGCCCAACTGGATTCTTTCCACCTGGGTGTTCCGCTTTCCGAAACCTGCCAACCTGCAGATCCAAGCTGAGATGTGAGCTTGAAAAGTGCTTCCAACTGCTTCCCCCTGCTTCCCGGGCCATCATTTAGACAACTCGAGCACTCGAGCCGTCGTTCCTGTCGCGCTTCCGTCGCGCTTGCGGATCCCTTAACTATGGAATTGGGGGAGGGGGGATTTCGACCCCTGGAATTCCATTCATGGTTCCAGTTCCCTGTTCTACGGACTAGATACATGGAATTTGGTTCCCCCCCCTTTACTTGGTTGACGTTGGAAGGGGAGCAACAAACTAAACAAAATAGCACTTAAGTGGTTGGATTTCAACCACCAAACCACAATAGGCAAAAAAAGCAAACAAAAAATAAAAGGTTTCCCGACAACCACCACGTTTTACTGTAGGTCTGCTCGTTTTTTTCTTTTTTCTTTTTCGGTTCGGCGCCTGTGTGGTCCCCGTCCAGCGCCGCCGCCAAGTTCTCCACGTCGGCGTCGCTGACCACCGCCAGGCTGATGCGCAGCTCTTTCCGGATCAGCTTCTTCAGCTCCACCCTGGGAGCCGAGTTGAGTCACTGGCTCAAAACTCGATAAATTAAAATGGTCGACCTATTTTAGTGGTTGGATTGGGATGTTCACTGGGGGGTAACCGGGCTTTTGACCATGGACATCAAAGCCCGGTATTAAAAAATGGTCGTAAGCCCAGAACCATGCTTCAGGAATTAAGAAGGCGGATATCCGCAACTATTCCTGGCTGGGACTGCCCCTTACGAAGCTTCATCTACCCAGGTTTTGATTGTGGCTCAGTTGGACCGTCCGGGAACGGTTCCACCCTCCCACCCCCAACCAACCCGGGGGGCGGCAGCCCCCCCCCCATGATGATTGAAAAAGTGATGATTCAATTAGGGGTGCATTTTGATCTCTGCCAAAAATTCCAAAAAGTAGCGGGGGGGGGGCCACCGCAGCTTTTTCTTCAGATCTCGGGGAGTCAAAGACCCCAGGTTTCTTGCGATTGGCACAGAGATTAACAGACTTTGCTCGGAGCAACAAATGTCTTTCTTTTAGCAGTTAAGTGCTTGGATTTCAACCACTAAACCACAAGCAAACATGTCAAATGTTTCCCAACAACAACCATGTAACGGCCAGTCGCTACCGATTGAACAGAGTTTGCCGGCCTCGCAAGTTTGATGCTCTGACTCCCATGGACCCCAAAACCCACCCTAAACCAACCCGCAGCCACAGCTTTTCCTTCTTGGCGATCTCTTTTAGTCGGGTTGTTTTTCGGAACCCAACCACTAAAACCAGCTAGAAAGCGGAAAAGCTAGGGCCAAACCCACACACGAAGCCTGAATTTTCGCCCTAAACCCACCCCTAAACCCAACCCTTAAAATTTAACCCCCCCCCCAAAAAAAATGGGGTCAGGTGATCCGAGAAGGTGCCCAAAACATCTTGGTGGTTGCTTAGATCCAGCTTTCCTCCTGGTGATCTGGATAAATTTGGAGGTGTTCCGGGGTGGTTTTCTAGGATGACATACTCAAACCGCCAATCCAAACCACCTGGCTGGAACGTGGGCCCCAAACAAAAGCCCACGGGGACTTTGGATTAGGATACATGTGTAACAAGTTTTTTTTTTTTTTTTTTTTTTTTTTTTGTGATGAACAAAACATGCGCATGATTTGGGCACCTAGAATTTGGAGATCGCCTACATGCCGCCTCGAACTTAGGTTTTCTCCGAGTTCTTGTTTGTTCTAGAGAACCCCCCTTTGGTTGGTTTTAAGCGGAAACCGGCAGGAAGGCACATCCATTTTGCCAACCTTAAAGAAGAGACCCCATTTGAAAAACGAATCCAACGAGCGGTTCCCTTGACGACAAGCTTTCCCCGTTGCCCCATAAAGGCTCCCAAAAACATGTCTTTGAGTTTTGAGTGTAGCCTTGGTGTTGCAGTGGAGACATCAACAAAGAGATGGGCCTTTTTTCGAGACAAAAGGAGGACCCTTTTGGTTGGTTTTGACAGGATATCAAGAGGACGACAGTTGCGCCATATTGTGGGTACCTTGCAAACGACACACCCAGATCCAGGCCAAAAGTTTCGGGCCCGACAAACGGGTTCTCAGTGTTTTTCTTTTCTCCTGAGAGACAGCCGAAACCAAGCCTTTTCTTGGGGAGAAACTCCAAAACAATACACGCCAAGGGGATGGTGCGGTTGAGTCCCGAATGAAGCATGGCTGCAACGAACATTATGTTGATGGCTTGCGCTTGGTTTAGAATAAATCGTAGGATCCACGCTGCATCATATAGTTGGCATCCAAACTCGTCACCCCACATTGGGCTCGGACTTGAGTTGTGTTTCTGCTTGTTTTAGCCACCTGGCAAAGTTCTGGCGACCTGGCAACTCACAACTGGCTCAGGCTTGCCACACTTTCCCTGGTGAGGGCGTTCATGGCGGTGCTAGACTTGAAACCTACGGAGATACAGCACGGTCTCCTTCGCGCATTGCCAGCCGTCCCAAAAAGAGCGTGCGCGTTTACCCAAGTTGCGAGGTCAACGTGCCGCTGCGGTCAGCATCCTGAGACATCCAGAGATGCGTTTAGTTCGCGACAAAAAACGACTGCAGCCATGCCGCATACTTGCCAAAGATCTTCCTGAGTGACACCTCAGGACATCAGCTTTCAACATGTCTCACCGGATCACTAGGATCCAAGTCTCCCACTCCCATCTGCCCCCTAATCATGCAGCCACGATGCCCCTCGTGTGGCACTCTGAAGCTGCGACTGCATTCGTCTCGCCACCTTCCGTCTGAAGCTTCTCCCAAAGAACATTTAGATGGCCGATAAGTGCTCGGTAACCCCAAGTTCACCCCCACCTGTAGACCACTAGAGTTAGCAACCCTTGAGCGCCTCAAACCATCTGAATACAGCAGAAGCATCAAGTCAAGGGTGGCACAAGTCACAAGTCTAAGTGGAACCCCCCCAAACCCCAAAAAGCAAAAAACAAGCTGAGGGGATGGCTGGGAGACAAAGAAGTCAGCCAGGTGCCCCCGCCTCTTCACTGATCTTTGGCGCTGGGCGCTTATGCTTCCGCGCCTCTTTCCTGCGAGTGGCTAACAATTGGACGACAAAATCCGAATCAAAACCGATCGGTATCAAAATGGTCCAAGACCAGAACCATGCCTCAACAATTCAAAAGCTGGAAATACGCACCCGTTTACGGCAAGAGGATGGTCCCCTACCCTCCAATTACCCGGGTTTTTGAGTGTGGCTCTAACTCGTCTCATGAGGGGCGCCCTTCCTTCGCATCACTGGCCGGTTTTCATCGCGGCTCAGGTGTTTGTTCGTTTTGTCCGACCGGCGATCTCGAGACACTCAACCCACTCTTCTCTCCTACTCTTTGCCCTCGGAGTGGGCGGCTCGCCACTCATCTGTTCCGGATGTGGAGGTAGCCAACCGTTCCAATCTTCTGGCACCACAGAGGTGTGGTCATTGCCTGAAAACCAGGCATGCAAGCGGCATCACTGTCTCTCGAGACAACTGCGCTGTCTCCTGAAAAGGGGACCCTGTTTCCCAACCCCAAACTTGTCTTGCGAGCATGCCCGCTTTCCGTTTATGGGTCCAAACAGGTGCTTGGGGGCTCGACAAGAACATGGTCCGCCTATGGCAAGACATTGAGCGAACAGTTGTAGAAACATGCTAGACACTTCTTACATGCATACATATGATAGGCCTGTCGGTATGCGTCCGGCGGCTGCTGCAGGGCAGGGGGACCCCAATACATATATATATATATAAATAGTATACACATATTGCTATGCATATTGACATAGACATGAATATGGTCCCTACCCCGATCTCACCTTTTAGAATGACTACAGTCGCTGCTGTACTGTAAATGCACGTGTGCTGAGCCTTTGGTTGACACAGCTGTGCAGAATAACTCTCAACATGAGAACTATCCACACCAAACAGCAAGCCGGGATCGGTGTTTAAATCTATCACATAAGTATTTACACATATTTTGAAAGTGGGGTGCTTGCTGTCTGCCTGCTTTGTGATTTTAAAGGCATACTGAGCAAACACCCAATTGCCACATGCTTCGGAGCTGGCACGCATCTGTGTTGGGAGCTTCAGCCAAAACAGCAAATGTGCAGCTCCTGGAGTGTGCTTGCAGAGTTACTGCCAGCATGCGGTACAAAGTCCCAACTAGAAAGGCATGTAAATCGCTTGTTCCCCATGGTCATACATGCTCACTCTCCCGCCTCAAGGAATTTCGATGACTAGCATCCTTTTTTTTAACGACTAAAGTTGCATAAATGACGTAGATTCCTTCCTCTCGGCTGCTCCCATAGGTTTCAGCATAAGTCCTTTCCTTGCTTGGCGGGCCCGGGTCCCCGGATCTCAGGTAGACTGCCACGGGCCGTGTTGCTTCGAGGGCTCGACTAGGTTCGTTCCCAACACCCTGAGTCATCCCCTGGGCACCAGCAACATTTCAAGATGCTCCGGCGGTTCATGTTTGCAAATTCAGGAACGAGCCCCGGGCCTTCGGGGGTCGACCCCAAACGGAGATTCATTTTCGGATTCCATGTGAAGGGGTGTACATCACCGCAAAGAATTGGCAAATGTTGTGGTAAGTTCCCAACAAGAATTGGACCTTCCAGTTCCGGACCGTGGGCGAAGTTGCTCGATTTAAAGTTGATCCCGTATCAATGTGCTTGGACACTTGCCGGTCAAACCTCCTTCAATTCCACGGAGGTTCCCTTTTCCGTCGGATCAAGAAACCCGATGCCATTTTTTTTCCGGGGGGCGAGTCACTTTCAGTGATGAATGCCCACTAAAAGGGGACACCCGTTTTGAACATCAAGGCTCTTTAGCCGCCTCTGTGCTGGCTGATCACGTGATGGTTTCAACCACACATCACTCAAGGGCTCCCATCCGCGCTCCCATCCGCGGGTTTTAGAAAGGGGGTTCTCATTCATGTTGACTCCGGATCTAAGTAGACCCCGTCCTGCAAGAAGGGGGGATGTTCCGGTGTTCCCCTGAAAAGTGGCCTGAACCCCACAATGCTGCCTAAAGCCTGTAATGTTGACCCCAGATTAATCAACCCCAGTTTGTTCATAGGGGGTGGGGGCCCTCCAAAAGTGGCCTTCCTACGAATAAACGTATTCGGGGTTTCCATTAAGCTTTAGCTGGGATCCCTAGCTACACCTCTCCCCAAAGTTGGACCCTTCGCCGCTCAGAAAAGCAGCGGTACTCGTAAAATGGAAAACACCTACACCAAAAAGCAGCGCCCAAAAATCATCCCGAAACAACACCTACACCAACACCCCAAACTGCAGTCATCAGCACCTCAATTAGCACCCCAAACAGCGTCCCGCCGGTGCAAATGCATCCAGGGAATCCCCTTTTGGTTAGTTTCAATGTTGACCCTATGTTAATCCACCCCAGTTTGCTCATAGGGGGTGGGGGGAAACCCCTCCAAAAGTGGTCTGATTCCAACCACTCAGCGGGAGAAACGCAGCGGCCCATTTTGATTGGTGCGTCCCTTGGTTTCATTTCAGGGGACCAAATGGATTCATTCCCACCTTCCCCACTGTGGATGGACGAAATCCTGCACCACCTAGGAAACCCTGGAAGGATTCGATTCCTCTGCAAATACCAACAAACAATGGGTTTCAACCATGGTTTCCAAGCGGTGCGAAATGGATTTCGTCCATCCACAGTATCAGCAAGAACATGTGGCAGGTCTCACTTTTGGACCTCGAAATGATGCAACCCATCTATTTCTCACCATATATTCCCAAAAAAGGACAATCCGTTTGCTTGGGTTCACGCACCCAAGTCACAATCAAAGCCCGGTGTTAACATGGTCTACCCAGAACCATGGAAAGAACTAAGAAGGCGGATATCCGCACCTATTTCTGGCTGGGACTGCCCCTTTCTAACCTTCATCTACCCGGGTTTTGATTGTGGCCCACCCAACGCAAAACCACCGGCTCCCTCCATATTCTAACCATATTCTAACCATATTCTGCCCATATTCTGCCCATATTCTAACCATATCTTTGAACCATATTCTAAAGAGGACACCCCTTTTGGTTAGGCTTACAGGGGCACCCCAAAGAAAAGACCACCGGCCCCTTCAACGGGAGCCGCTCGGGCACGGATGCGCCTGGCATCACGAAGGCGAAGGCGTGCAGCTCAGCATCCGGCGCGAAGGCGTGCCAAGGGTGCGGCGCCATGCCTCCCGTTGTCTTTTATATATATATATATATATATATATATTTGCTTACATCATATTATATGTTTACTATCTTCTCTTGTCTTACCTTCTTTGCTTGTTTAGCTTATTCATTTATTTTGGCATATCTATGTATGTATTCATGTATTATTTCATTAGTTACTTAACATTTGCATCGTACTACATTTATTCATCTTATCTGATTTGCTTGGCCTATTTATTCCTTGTAGCAAATATACTTATCTATCTTATTTTGTTTGACTTATTTGTGTTATTCAATTATTTGCTGTATTTATTTTAGCTAATTCATCTTATTTTATTCATTTTTGGCTTATTTGTCTATCTACTCATTTCTTCTGAAGGCAAACAAATCCAAGGGCCTAACATGAAGTTGGATACACTTCGATCCATCTTTCTTGTTGGCAGTCTTCCGGATCCCCATTTTGGGGCCGGTTGGGGAAACGAGCAAGTGTTGGCGATTGCTTAGCTCCTGTTCCTTAACATTGGGATACCGTTTGGGATGAAGGATATTAACATTTTGCTGATGTCCTGATCTTTTTGGGAAGGGTTAGGCACCTTGGCGGACATGGCTATAAGGTAGGTCCCCAAGTATCCAAAGATACAGTGGAGTCTTACGCTCACACAAATTGACACTTCTATTGGGGAAATCCTGTGCCATCCGTGTTCCCCCAAAAGGGTAAAGGATCCTATCACTTTCCCTTCAGGAGAACCCGTCCGATTTTTTGTGACGGGCTGAGCATTGGAGTTGTGTGCCAATGACTCTCAGCAGGGAACGTGGGACTGACCCCAGGGCTCCCCTTAAAAGAAACCCGCTAGTTGGACGGCTTTTCCGGGGGTCCTTCCATTGCTCGTTCCCAGCATCTCTCGCGCCAGCAGATTTGTTCGGGCAAAACATCTGCCACTTGACACGCTCGGCTTCCGGCTCGCACAGCCCCGGTGCATGTGCTGGAAGCCCAAGTGGGGCTGGTAGCCTGAGCAACCGGCGGGGCATCGCATCTGGGGCAAAGGGGGCTTGCTTTGAGCGTCCTTTGCTTGGAGGGCTTGGGGTTGGTTAGGGACACTCAGTTTGAGGCTTGCTTTGAGACAGACCTGGTTTCAGTGTCGCTGAGCCAAGAGCCCACATGAGCCACGGACAGTCTGAAGCCCTGGCTCGTGGTTTTGAAGTTTCGTGGCTGGCCCCATTGTGTCCCCCCTGAGCCCAAATTGATCATAGACCGGATATTTGGGCTGACACTTCCTAACTGGATTGGCCAGAAAAGTACCCTCCCTCCCAACCCGGCAACTGAAAGGGGGGGGTCCCTTCAAAAGGAAATTACCGCACACAGGTGCCATGGTTAGTTGGAGGAAGGGTAAATCCTTTCACCACTCAGGTGGCCTTACAGAGTTGAAAGGAGCACGAGCGAGAACCGTCTGCTCAAGTGCTTTTCTCGGATGGACTCAACTGCGCGTTTTGAACGCGGCTTTTTGGACCCTTAAAAGGAATCGTGTCCCGGACGGTCCCCTTGCCAACCAGCCGAACGGGCGGAACCAACACAAGGGAGCTCCCGGCCAAATGGGGAGCTTCCTCCTTCCCCTTTCAGGCGCGAAACGAGGCTAGAAGACAAACAGTCAGCTGCAACTGGGTCTGAGGTTAAATCCTTCGGAGACCCTATGAACATCATTCCAATGCCGAAGTCTCAGTTGCCCAAAGCCGTCCTTTTGACCTTTGGTTTCCCTGCTTTGGTCCATTTTTAGTACAGGTCCCAAAACTCCCCGATAGGAAGTGTTTTGCCCAACCGGGAGGTGGCAGCCATAGCCAACACAAACCCCGAGAAGCACCACTCACCACCTGAGAAAAGAGACCTTTAACACCAAGGGGGGAAACAACATTTTACTCTGAGCTATTCCCAGAACCCCTGCCAAAGTTTTTGACTTCCAACGATGTTTAGTAAAAACCAACAAAAACCATGAAAAAAACAGGAAACCAACAAAAAACCAACTAGCTCCACTAAATCAGGCAGAACAAAAGCAAGAACCCACCTAATGGACCGGATGGCATCCGGGGGCTCTGGCCTTTTGGCTAAACATAGGCTTCCCTAAGTGCTTGGCATGCGGGTGACCCCGGATGAATTCATCAACCCCTCATTCATCAACCATAACTTGGGATAATTTGGGTATGAGCTTTCATTGGGGACCCTCAGGTGGACCTCATTTAGGTGGGGATTTGTGCCCACCAACCATTTTGGAGGGTGTTCCTTCATGTTTGACCCCATATTCATCAACCCCAGCCTATTAATAGGGGGTGTTCCCCTCCAAATGGAACCAGATTAATCTCCACGAAAACCAGGGACACCAGTGGAACCCATCTATTTCCAACCATATTCTAAAAAGGACACCTTGTGTGGATGGTTGCGAAATCCATTTCACACCACCTGTAAGAAACCCTGGCATGATCCCATTCCTCAACGTAAACAGCAACAAACGTTCTGGTTCCCATAATTTCACGCACCGCGCCAAAAAAAAACAACTCCCCAGCATCCACAAAACTCCATCCCTTTTACGGCGAGGTGCTGTGGTAGGTGCTGGCCCAGGGCAAATCCTCCAGGCTGTCGAAGCTGGTCTGGATGCGGGGATCCACCCCCGGCTGCCCGAAGAGCATGGCTCCGGAATTCGGAATTCGGATTCGATCGCGGATTCGGATTCGATGGGTCGAACTGCTCCACCCTCTGCTCAGTTGTGGGGCGCCTGGCTGTCTGAGTCTGCTGGGGAGGGTAGGGGGTAGGGGGTAGGGGGGAGGGATCCAGGACGCAATCAAACTTAATTCCCGCATTGCAACAGGGATTCTTACATGAATTGCCTTGTAAATGGTGGTTTCCCTTTATTTTGGTGGAAAAAGCCGCATGCTTCACATGGTTACAACATGAATTTCTTTTAAGGAGCCCTGTGCAACAAAGGGGTCACATGCAACGCTTCAAAGTTGCAAAGCATCGAGGCTCAGGCTCATCAAGCGCTGGAACTTCACACTTGTCACTTGATGGTGATACTGAGCCACACATACCAATGAGCGGCATGAAGGCCAGACTGCAGGATCATCAACTGTGATTGAAGCTGAAGGGCCTGATCCAAGATCATCCTGCAATCCAGCAACTGAAGGCCAGAATGTGAAGAGCAACTGTGATTTCAACTTTCACATACCACTTTGGCTCTTTCCTTGAAATCTTGGGCCCCATGCTAATTGTTGAAGGGCCTGTCAACGCATGCCCATCGCAGAATCTCCCGTCCCTTCAAAGGCTCTGTTTCTGATTGTTTCCCCTACATTTCGAGCGCCTCAAATGGCCGGAGCGCATGTTTCTGGCCAACAACAAATGCTTCTTGTTCTCCAACTGTACACATCATCCCACAAAGCACTCGAACCCAGGACTTGCATTTCATTGCGTAAAACCACGGTGCACCGGGGGGCCCATGCCCATGTTCAGCATGCATTTTCACCGCATGGCAATGCATTCCGCTTGCATTGCGGCTGCCTCCAAAAGTGCGATTCAAGTGGTGACTACTTCCTGTTGGAATCCCTAGGTGAGAGTTTTCCTTGAAGGTGGGTTCCGGTGGTCTTCCATTTATCCCCCGCAAACTTGACATGGAACCCAACAGGGGGTCCCCTGTGTCTAAACAGGCTACTCAACAGGAAACAGAATCAAAAGTTAGTATTGTGTGTACTCTTTGTCTAAAGGTGGATCCCCTTTTGCTGCTTGAAGTTATCAAATAACGAAACTCTGGGCATGAACAAACGGAAAGAGCGGTACCGCGTCCGGGCTCCCATTTTTCTCTCCCGCTCGCGCGGAAAAGTCGATGCATTGACCTTCATGGGAACGCCGGGACCCTGGGCTTGGCGACAGGCGAATCAACGTTCAGCTTCCCGTTTTGTGCTTCGGATTGGTGGCTTGGAGGCTAGGTCCTCCAGTAGAGGTTAGAATAAGGGTACCTTTTTTTTTTTTCTTTTTCTTTCGGTAGTCTATTTTAGAAGGAGACCCCTCCCCCCAAAAAAAGAAATGGGCGAGAAAGGGCACCGATCGCTAGGGGACCTAGAGTTTCCCCCATCTGCTTTCCAGAACCAGGGTGGCGCCACCAATCCAAACCACGGCAAGTGTTGCCTGATATGTTGCCATTGTGGAAAGAACTGTGACAAGCTTGGGGCCCATGATCCAAAGGATTCGAAGACCGGTCCTTCAACCCTCCGATTTCCCACACGGTGGTTTTTTCCGCCCGGTGGTTTGGAGGGGGCTGGCGTCCAATTCACTGTCAAGAGCCAGTGGTTGACATCCCACCAATCCAAGCAATCCAAGCCACCAACGAAGGGTTGCCTGAGGCAAGGCATTGACTTTCCAGAATGGATCAGACACCCGCAGAAAAAAACAAACCAAACACATACCCAGAATGCATCAGACACCCGCAGAAAAAAAAAAACAAAAACAAAAACAAAAAACAAACGCCTCCTTTCTGAGACCGGGGCATCTCCTCTCGCCTCTTCCGGCCTTGTGCCAAAGACTCTGGGTGCCGAATGGGTCCAAAAGAAGTTCAAAGCCACCCCTTTGGTCCACCCGGGTGCGGCTGAAAACTGAAAAAAAAGGCCGGGGCAGACCGCAGGTCTTCGTCTGTGGTTCCAACAACCAAAGTGCCCAGGTCCTCCAGTAGAGAGGTGAGAACAAATGGACCAGCTTTTTTTCGGTGTTGTGTATCTTAGGGGAACCCTCACCAAAAAAGAAGCGGTGGGAAATCTAGGCGCCATTGCTCGCCCAAATCTGCGGTTTCAACCGCTTCCAGGCACTGCGCCCGAGCCAAAACCACCTACGCCCTTGGAGCCTCAGGCCTCGGAGATTCTGGGCGAATCGGCATCGATCCGAAGTTTGGAAGGTGGGCAAAGCAAGGAGAGCAGCTTTGAACTCACGACAGGGCTGTCTCACAGGGCTGTGGGAAATGGAAATGGATCCACTTCTGTGATACAACCAAAAGGGCCAGCCCCGAAGACTAGCCATGTAAAGAGGGGATTCCAACTTGTATCACAGAAGTGGTTGGATAAACCCCTTGATCCCACAACCCTAACCCATGACAATGGGAAACCCCAGGAAAACGAAAAGTGCTCAGATCTGGCCGATTCGCTGGATTGGATTGGGCAAGTGAGAATTGAATTGCAGGTTCGGTCAACAAAAGTGAGCCCCTTGCACCATGGTTCGCTTAAGGCGCTTCGGAAAAACCTCCGCCCTCCGCATGCCAAGCACTCCACCGTTCCTGCGGGCTTCCAGCATTTGACGGGCACGCGCCTAAGCCGTCGAGGATGCCAAGACACGAAACTCGCTCGGGCTCTGAGTCTCTATGTGGGTGTGCTTTTGTGAGGCTACCTGGCTGTGGGTCGAGAACCCGGGTAAACAGAAACATGGACCAAAACCTGCGGTCCCCTGGTGGCTGAATTTTGACCCAAGACACCGCGAGGCAAACCCACGATTTTGGGGGTCACAACCAAAACACCCACAAATGGGTGTCCATATTTGCACTGCAAACTTGGCGAGAGAAATCTGGGGACGTAGGACTTTAAAGCCACCATTTTTCCAGGGATGGGAGATGTATAAAAGCCAAAGTAGTTCAAGTCCCTTCAAGGGCCAATTCAGGATTGCCCAGGCAGGTACATCACTAACTTACATGACTCATGACTCAACTGATTCATTAGGGGAGTTGCAAAATGGAGCATTTTGGACCCGCTGAAGAAGTGCGGCCGAAGAAGTCGCCGAAGAGGGGATACCAAAAAGGGCCAAATTTGACAACACACATGCCATTGCGGTTACATTACCGTTACGTTGACTACACGTGACAGTCAAGTGTCAAATCCGGGGAAGAACAATGCTTGCACCTCATTCAACCAGCTTAGGAGACCGCTAAGATGGCCGTTTTGTGTGAACCGTCCACCATGTGCGAAACTCCCAGACCCCCTTGAAGTTGCCTAGGTTTCCATTTTGACTAGGTCCTCCAGTAGAGCGGTTAGACTAAGGGTACCAACTTCTTTCTGTAGTCTAATTTAGTAGGGGAACCCTCCCTAAAAAATCCTCGGGGCTGGGAGGGGGAGGGAGCCCAGCTTTGCGCTTTTACGCCCTTCAGGCGCATCAATTGGCTTGCTTGCTTTTGACCCCTCTGCAAGACGTGAATCATCACTTGTCGTTTCCCCCCAAAAAAGGGATCCAAACATAGGGTAGGCCTTTTGGACAAATAGCATGGAAATGGCACAACACCCATCTAAACCACTGGAACCCATGTATTTTTCACCAAACTCACCTAAAAGGACACCTATCCTCCATTTGCTTAAGCCCAGGGGGAAAAAACAACTATTTCAAATAGTGATAGATTCCCTTTAAAGCCAACAGGAAAAAAACACACATCTTAAGCAAATGAAAGCCATGGATCCACAGCTCCCACCCCGTTCCATCGATCGCCTGTGGCCCTGGCATGCAGCTCGGCGCTTCGCCGCTGCTCCTCCTTCAGGGACTCCTGCTGTGCCTCCAGCGCTCGAGGGGCAAAGAGCCGGGCCCGCCGTTTCTCCAGATTCCAGCCGCCTTTTTTTTGGCCCCGCTTTTTTGGGGGTGTCTTTCTCAAGCTTGGGCACCGAGTCCTCCAATCCAAAAAGGGGCCCCTCCTCTCGGAAGAACCCCCCTTGTTCAGCTCCTCGAACTCCTAGTTTTCCCGCGGGGCACTGGATTTCCCAAGGGTTGATCAATCTACTGCCTTTGCTGGCGCTTGAACGCCTGCCACAAGTTGAACTGCGGGTCGATCAATTTTTAGGGCTTCCGGCCGGTTTCACAAAAACTTAAAGTCCAAAGATCCGATCAAATCGCAACTTCCCCACCAGGCTGACCAATTTACTGGTGGGTTCCACTGCTCCGAACCCGCCACTGTGCAAGGTCCCTTTGGGGTTGAAGGACTGTTGGCACTTCACGCACAGGTTGCATTGAAAACCGCAGCTCCAAGCGGTAGCGCCCGACTTCTCCGGTTTCGAGCCCAGAAACCTTTCTTGCCGGCGCCTGCTCTGCACCCCCGCATGAAACCAGGGGAGCAAGCAAAACCTGATATTTTCTTCGCGGTCTTCCCAGAACCATGCAACAACGGCTGCCTTTCCATTTATGGTTGGGAAAAACTCCCTCAACCTTCATCTACCCGAGGTTTGCAGCGGGGCTGTCTGAAAAAAAGGGAACTCCTAACATCAGCTTCCTTGCGGTTTCCCACTAAAAACCAACCACATCCGCGGTTATCCCAAAACACAGGCCGCCCCCAACCCTAAGTCCCCTGGGAAAAAATGAAAAACAAATCCAGTAGTGATAGATTCCCTTTAAAACCACAAGTGGAAAATAAGACATATTCTTAGCCAAACGGAAGCAACCGCCCCCCAAACCCACTCGGTGCGAGCTGCCAGCACCGTCGCCATGCTTTCCTCCAGCTCCTCGCTGTAGTCTTCCAAGCGACGCCTCGCTGCCCATTTCAATCAGAGAAGAAGCAGCCAGGAGACGAGAAGCTCAGTTGTTCAATGACCCTGGAACAAAAGGGAACCTTTTTTGGGGAAGGCAATTTTTAGTGGGGCAGCCACCCAAAAAAAATGGGTAAAAAGGGTGCCACTGAACAACTGAGGAAGGCGCAACAAATGCACGCGTCAACCCTGCTTCTTTTGCTTGAACTTAGTCCACGCTAGTTTTCTTCAAGCATCTTCTCTTGTGGCTTTGTCGGCTTGCGTGGCTTGCTTGCCTTCCATTTGCTTTTCGCCCCCTGGCAAACAACTATAAACTATGTCCATTGGTGACATTGATTCCCTCTGCCAGGAAGAAATACACACATATTCATCTGGTCAACAAAAAACAGCATGTACACACAGAGCACGTTGCAAGCAACGTCCATGCTCAACAAACAGATGGCAGACCTATTCTCCAGCCATTGGGACTTGGAGTCCGAAGTCCTTAACGTCTCTCTTGGTATGGTAGCAAACAACGGTGTTTTTTTGCAGCCCCGGTAAAAAATGAAGAGAACCGACAAAACCAAAAAAATCAAAAACACATGCCAAGAGCAGTGAAGGATTAAGGGTACCTACTTACCAACTCCAAAACAGACAAACATAAGCCGTACGACATCGTCTGGTGGTTACAGAACGGGATGTCATGAAAGGCGGTTTCTGGGCCCAAACGACTACCTTTGGCTTCTGATCTTCTGAGATTCAAACAGAGAAAGATCGTCCATAAATCGGACAAACACAATCTGACAAAGCACACGATTGGCCCGTACTCACTTATAAAACATCGAGACATCGGAAAACAACAACAAACACAAACACCACCACAGCAGCAACAGCGGCAGCACCAGCACCAGCACCAGGACCAACACCAGAACCAGCAACAGCAACAGCAACAGCAACCGCAACCTCAACCTTAGCCTCAACGTTCACGTTAACCTCACCCTTAACCTTAACCGTAAGCGCAGCAGCAGCAGCAGCAGCAGCAGCAGCAGCAGCAGCAGCAGCAGCAGCAGCAGCAGCAGCAGCAGCAGCAGCAGCAGCAGCAGCAGCAGCAGCAGCAGCAGCAGCGACAGCGACAGCGACAACGACAACGACAACAACAAAACCCACAGGCTGACAAAGGACATGTTTGGGTCTTACTCACAAGCCTGAAACCGACCGCAAACCTGGAGAGATCGGAACAAACACAATACGACAAACCACCATATTCTCTCGGTTGCTTTCTGCTCCCCTGCTAAACGTTTAACTTTTAGTGGTTTAGTGGAAAACCCACTGGTTGGCAAAAAGTTAAAGTCCTAACAGCCAAGCAAAATGCACCAAAGTTCTAGTAGAGATGATTGGGTCTGCCAAGAAATCCGCCGTGTCAGTTTGCGCTTCTCCTTCTGTTGCTTCGATGTCTTGTTTTTGGAGTTTCTTGACTTTTCGGCTCACCCTCGCTGGCAACCATTAAAAAAACAACTCGAGAAACATGCAGTTTCAGTTCTATGGATTCAAGATACACATCATCTAATTGAATCATTTCCTTATTCAAGTAATTAAGCTGAAACAAACATGATTGCAAATAAGTTCCTATTCGAATCTTAACTTCGGATAGACAGGCTAGCTGGTATATTTCCTCATTCAACTCTATACATGCTCTGTCACTGCAGTTGCTTTGCCATTTCTACCTTAGTGATTGACAAAGAACATACACCACTCACGGCATCCAATCTGATGGCTTCACCGGCTCGAAGTTTCATCGGCTGACGCGCCTCATCTCGTCTAGCTGGCGCTCTGAGGCGCGTTGCCTGGCCTTCCGCAGATCGGCGGCGCTCGTGTTTTTGAGGAAGCCATGTAGAGCAGGGCTGTGGGAAATGGAATCCACTTCTGTGATACAACAAGAAAGGGCCTCCCAAAGGCCAACCCCTCATATAAAGAGGGGATTCCAACTTGTATCACAGAGGTGGTTGGATAAACCCCGAGAGATCCCACAACCCTGATGTAGAGGGTGGCTTCCCTTTGGCTGTCGATGAAACTTTGGGCCAGAAATGGCCAAGGACCTCCGCCAGGCTCCGAAGTGGAGTCTGGTAGTTTGGGACTACCTCTTGGATCACAAAGGCGTAGCAAATTCGAATCTCCCCCCCAACCCCCCCGCCCCCCAAAACAACCCCCGCTCCTAGAATCCCCGCCTCCCCCCTCATTTTGCAGCATCCTGATCTCTGGCAAGCCCGATTTCACAAGAACCGTCTCAGGCAACTGCCGGTATCCTGTGTCCCGTCGCCCATATCCCGTGTGCGTCCCGCGCCTCGCTCCGGCGCAACGCCGCCTCCCTCTGCTGGAGGCCCCTGGAAGGTGAGAGGTCGCTCTGGTCAGCAACCAGAGTGACCCGTTGGACTCTCGCTGCGCTTCTGGAACTCATCTCGCTGGCTTTACGAGTTCAGGCAGCTATACAAGGCTCTGAGGTCGCCCATAATCAGCGTTGTTTGAGCGTGGCGGGTGCTTTCTGTGAGGGGGAAAAAGCGAACACCAACTGTTCGGAAGGGTCATTTTTTCACACACACACACAGCCATATGGGTGTGTTGGCTCGGTAATCTTGGGGGGAAACAAGCAGAAACCAGTCCTATAGGGGTATTGCCATGTGGACTACCTATTTCTATGTCTTTTGAGCATTTTATCCTTTGCCACAGTTACATAGGTGTGTGTCCAAATGGACCGAACATCGCTGGTTTCCCTTTAAATCAAACCCGTGGAATAAGAAACACACGTCACTCTCTGAAACTCTCTCTGGACCCGCCAAAAGATCGAACGGAATCTGCAACGAAGAAAAGCAGAATCTCTGCGATGTCGATATCCGGCGATCCCGTGGCACCGCTTCGACGCCCAAGACACACTTGATTCATGGACCGGGGGTCAATCCTCATTCCCTGCATCTTAGAAACTTCCCCTCGCCTCTCACGCTGTTCCAGGTCCCTCCTCGCCCGCTCCACCTGAAGGATTGTGGACGAGGACCCGAGTTGGAGCCATGCTCAAACCCGAGTTGCCCAAAGGACCTGCTAAAAGGTGATCACCTCGGGGACCTCAAAAAAAGCAATTGACGCACAAGAGGAGCCCGGGAACCCAAAAGCAAACCAGCCTCACTCCCCATGGCATGTGGATCCCGTTGTTTTCCGGCTCAAGGGTCCGAAGGCAAACCGAGATTTAAGTTGTTAACAGTTGGGAAATCAACCCCAAAACAGATGAAGAAGGGGAGCAACCGCGACTCAAGCCGGATTGGCAGCCAGCAGCCTGTGCTCTGACCAAGCACAGAGAAAAAGGCAAAGGCACGAGTGAAACATGACAGGCCCGCACTACATGGAAGGCGCGAAGTCATCTGATTCATCATGAAGAACCAATCGCAGAAATCCGAAAATGGATCCGCACATATACCACTCCCAAATTGGAAGCAAGGCATAAGCTCGCTCTACACCCATCTGAGCTCGTGTTTGTGGCCCAGACGTGTTTTTGGCCCAGACTGAAACTCCAACATCTTGGAGGCAAGCAAAGAAGAAGCAGTGACCGTTTCCTGTGAGCCATTTTCGCAGCGCGCCATCCATTTGGTCTGCCTGCTACACCAAAGAGCTGAGGCATCCCGAATGCTTCCAGAGTGGATCGATCAGAGAGCCGAGTGTGCTCAGCATATTCATGTCAACGTGCTTCCAGGCTGCTTTCCAAATAAGTAGGGCGAACCCCAAGAGGCTATAGCTTCTGAAGAGAGGGTTCGTCCTAGAAACATATTGGCACCATTTGTTCGGGTCAGGTGTGCGGCAAAAAGGACCGGGCTGTTCGCACGGAGCCGTGCACGTGGTGGTTGCCGCATGTCATGAGCGTCCACCGCGCCAGTCTCGCTCGCCGGCATGTCACGGGCGTCCACCGCGCCAGTCTCGCTCGCCGGCATGTCACGAGCGTCCACCACGCCAGTCTCGCTTGCGGGCGGTTTCCGCGTGTCACGAGCGTCCACCGCGCCAGTCTCGCTCGCGGGCGGTTTCCGCGTGTCACGAGCATCCACCGCGCCAGTCTCGCTCACGGGCGGTTTCCGCATGTCACGAGCGTCCACCGCGCCAGTCTCGCTCGCGGGCGGTTTCCGCCTGTCACAAGCGTCCACCGTGCCAGTCTCGCTCGCGGGCGGTTTCCGCATGTCACGAGCATCCACCGCATGTCACGAGCGTCCACCGCGCCAGTCTCGCTCGCGGGCGGTGCATGTCCGCATGTCACGAGCGTCCACCGCGCCAGTCTCGCTCGCGGGCGGTTTCCGCATGTCACGAGCGTCCACCGCGCCAGTCTCAAGATTTTTTTTGTGCATCTGTGCCTTTTCTTCTGGCTTCTGTGCCTTTTTGGCGGGCTGCAATTTGGCTTTGAGCACCAACTTGGTATTTGAGTTTTGGGTATGCAAGATGTTTGCAGGTTTCAGGCCAAACTGTTTTGAAATTGTTTTGTCGGTCTTTGCTCACTCAAACATTTTGCTGAAATGCATTGCGCCGCACAACCCCAGGCAGTGGGCCCCAATAGTGAAGACACCCCAACTCCTTTGCCCCTTTTATGAGGTTGGCAAACATTGAGGCGTTTTTAACATATTGAGCCAGTCCCACTCAAGCCCCTACTCCACCAATTCTCCTGCAGGTCGTAGACTCAGGTACTCAGATTGGCCAAGTGCCAAGGTTACCAAGGACAAGCGTGAAGGGTCGAAGCCGGTCGAAAGCACAAAAAGGCGCTGATCAAGTGCCTGTGCAAAGAAAAAGGCGCTGAGCAAGTGCCTATGCGCTGAGCAAGTGCAAAGAGCGCTGAGTAAGTGCTCTGTCGCTTCGGTCGTTCCTGCCTGGATGCACTTGACAAGTCTTGGAGAAGCTGGTTGGTCACATCACAAAATGTCACCTTTTGAAACGCTGTGTCAGATCATTGCTGGCGGCCGTCCAGAGGTGGTAGAACCAACCCACTGTGCAACAATGACTTGTTAAACAAACCCATTCGGGATGTGCTATTGGATTCTTTAAGTCGCATCCATTTACAGGGCACAGACAAAAAGGCGCTGAGTAAGTGCCTGGGCGCTGAGAAAGTGCAAGTGACCGCTGAGCAAGTGGAGAACTGGTTTCATCCCTGAAGACGCATGTGAAGCCTCATCCACTGAAGGTTGAAAGAAACGTTAGCACTCTTTTGTTTGGGATTCGGGCGCAATTCCTTATGTGCACTTCCCTCCCCACCCCCCAACTGTGTCCTCAGGACCTGGACACTGCACCAGCAGCTGCCAGAACGTTCCTCGGCTGCATTCAATGACGAGCTTTCAACTTAACGGGCAATGCGTGCAGCAATGCATGCACAGCAATTCCCCTCTCGCACTTTTTTGCCCTGCGATGTTCGCTGGAAGAGGTCAGTCTGACATGGCAAAGCGGTTCCGAAACGCATGTGTTTTGTGCTGGTCCGATTGTCTCGTTACACATGGCTTGTTGTTTGTTCCGCATGTGCTGTGCTGCCTGTCCTGAATTTTCGTTCACCGCTCTTTGCCACATTCGCCACTCAGCAGTGTTGCACCTGGCTGTCATTCTCTCCTCTCTTTTTTTCCCTCTCTCTCTCTCTCTTTTCTCTCTCTCTCTCTCTCTGTCTCTCACTCTCTCTCTCTCTCTCTCTCTCTCTCTCCCTCCGTACCTGTGTTGACACTTGCTCAGCGTCATGGGACACTTTGTCAGCGTCAGATTAATCAAACTTGCGCAAAGGCATCCCGAGAAAGTGAAACTTAAACCCTCCCACATGCCTCCTTTGCGCGCGGTGATCCTGGCACAGTGTGTCGCAGCAGCTTGGTCCAGTTTAGTTGCTGGTCCTCCTCACCTTTCTTTCATTTTTTCTTCTTTGGTGGTTGCGAGGGCTCCTGGCGCAACATGAAATTGCCATACTGCGCATCCATTGGTGGACATGCCTGGCACTGATGTGCTGCTTCTGGATCTGTTGCTGGCGCACTTCTCCTAGGCTGTGCCTGACACATTGTGCGTCAGTGATGTTGATTGCCGCATGCTGCGCTTTCGCAAGATCTCGTACTGGGACACTCACTCAGCGTCCGGAACACTTACTCAGCGTCCAGGACACTTGTCCAGCGTCTGGTTTTAACATCCCGACCCCCTGCGCCTTGGCCTTGAACTTGCTGGACGCAGCCCGCTGTTCTGCCTGGACAGGCGTGATTCCACTCAGCATTGACACTCACTGCTACGTAGACAGTCGCGCCTTCTTCCTCCCGGGATCCTGTTGCTGCTGCAGCTTCTCATCTTTCGCCTCAGCCTCCATTCTGAGCAATGCTATCGCCGCCTGCAAGTCTGAGATCTTGCTTTCCATCGCCACCTTCTCGTCCTGCTTCAACTTCAGCGCCGCCTCCAGGTCTGCCTGCAAGGTTTCGACCCTCTGCTGCAGCCTTTTGCCGTGGGCCTCCCAGGTTGTGCACGCCTCCTGGAACCGCCTGAGCTCAGCTTCTTTCTGTTGAAGGGCCTGAGTGCTCTGGGCCTGGGCGGTGACCAGCTCATGGGTGTGCCGCGCAACAAGCTGGCTCATGTCCGCGGTGTACTTCTCATCGAAGCTGTTGCGCAGCAGTGCCATGGCGCGGTCGTGCTCCAAGTTGCTCAGCCGAAGCTTGGTCTCCCACTTCTCCTCGCATTGCTCGAGGTCCCGCTCTGCCCGCCTCAGGTCCTGGCGAACCCGCCAAACCTCATGGCGCCTCTCCTGCGCAGCATCATGGCGGTGGCCGTGGCGTTCGCCCGTCTGACCTTTCTCGCCTTTCTCGCCCTTCTCGCCTTTCTCGCCGCCCTTCTCGCCGCCGCCGCCCTTCTCACCGCCCTTCTGGCTGCCGCCACCCTTCTCGCCGCCGCCCTTCTCGCCGCCCTTCTCACCCTTCTCGCCGCCTTTGATGCCCTTCTCGCCGCCTTTGAGTCCTTTGTCGTCATAGTGCCGCTCGCCGCCTTTGATGCCCTTCTCGCCGCCGCCTTTGACGAAGCCCTTCTCGCCGCCTTTGACGCCCTTGTCCTGGCCCTGGCCCTTGTCGTCGCCCTTCTCGCCTTTTGCGCCACCACTGCCCATCTTGCCGCCGCCTTTCTCGCCGCTGCTGCCGCGAGCATTGACGCCCTGGCCCTGTTGGCCTTTCCAGCGCCAGTCCACCTGGCCTTTCTGGCCCTTGCTGTCCATGGCTGCCGCTCAGGAAGCAAGTGAGACCTGCTGCACACCTGTTGGCTTTGTTGACTCGCTGCTTGCATGTGGTGCTCCACTTGGCTGTTCTGGTTGGGTGCCGTGCTTCTTAGGCTACATGCCATGTTTCAAACGCATGTTAAATATGTGAGCCATGACCTGCGCGGGCATGCTCATTTATCTATCTCTGTCTTTCTGTCTTTGTATCTGTCTCTTTCCCTCAGACCATCTCAGACCATAATGCGCGCGATTGACACTTGCTCAGCGTCATTGACACTTGCTCAGCGTCATTGACACTTGCTCAGCGTCATTGACACTTACTCAGCGTCACCATGCACACTTGTGCAGCATCATTGGCATCTTGCAGCACTGCTATGAAGCCAAGGTTCAGCGGCTCAGCTTCGCCATCACCAGCGCATGGTGGACCTGCAAGGCGGGAGTCATGGCCAACATCGCATGTGCAATGAAGCATGTGCCGCTGATAATAGTGGCAGTGACGCTGAGAAAGTGTCATTTTTCGAGAGACGCTGAGCAAGTGTCACAACAAAAACAAACATCACAGGTGATCGCATGCCAATGGATGTCTTGAATCACTGTCGGTGTTTGTCAGCCGCATTTTGCCAGCCAAGTCGGCCCGACAACAACCTGCTACAAGGTCATGGCGCACAGAGGTGTTGAAAAGCTCCTTTTGGTTGAGGGGCTCACTAAAGCAGGCTGTGACCCTAAGCTGGCAAGATGCTTGGTCACCATGTGGGTGCATGAGTGGCAGAACATGTGGTCCGAGTATGAGCCC